CCTCTATCATAATTGGACCACATCAGCCACCGAATGTCGAGTGGTCTCTAAAATAAGGTCTAGCACTAGATGATGCCTGATATGTCTGAAGTGGAAGAAACGAGTCCTTTACTTACGACAAAGTTGCCTCAAAAGGTGCCGGTACTCACAATCACGTGTCTATTACAATAGAGCTGAAGAATCATCATGTGCACTGCCAACTGGCGAAGTCGCTCATGCGTCTCCACAGATCACAATCCCTGGTTGCCTGGAACAGCTCTTTTGATGATATCCCTCCATACCATCGTTTCAGCCTATCCAGCATCATCTCTCTTGGTCTGCTTCTTCTCCTTTTTCCACTAATCTTTCCAGTTGTCACGATGTACTCCAATGTCTCTCTTCCCAGTATTGGGCCAAGGTATTATTCGTCTCAGAAACCACATCTCTGTTGCTTCCAAAATCTTCTTTATTTGTTCACTGACATTCCAAGATTCGCTGCCATACAGCAGAACAGGTTCTATGTAACATTTTAGCAGCCTCTTTGTGACATTAAATGATAGCGATTTATTGCATAAGATGTTTATCATTTTTTGAAATGCTGGCTCCATTTGACTTATTCTGCTTTTAATCTCTGTCACACCTTTTCTATCTAAGGATGTGATTGTTCCAAGAAATTTGAATTTATTGACGGGCTGAAGAAACTAATGCCTAAAAACTGGTGCCAGTACTGAACATCGTCGTGAACCATTAGAAAACAAGCCCTGGCGGTCAACCTTCACGGCGGAGACGGCACAGCATTTGTTTAAGTTGTCAAATGAAGGAAGAGATTTGCGCCTTACTGTGTGATCTGTCCAGTGACAACAGCGACATACCGTGGCCAACGTTCATTGTAGAGACGGTCATGAAACAGGAATTTTTGCAAAGGATACAGTTGTTTATGTTTCTTAGTTCATGTGTTGGAGTTAAAGTTATCTTTCAGGTTAAAGTCCAGAGGATCGACGTCACTTCATGGGGTTTGACCCCGTATGAACCCGTCTTTGTCTCTTCCTCTCTCTCTCTCTCTCTCTCTCTCTCTCTCTCTGTGTGTCTCTCTCTCTGTGTGTCTCTCTCTCTGTGTCTCTCTCTGTGTGTGTCTCTCTCTCTCTTCGAGTGTGTGTGACTCTCTGTGTGTGTGTGTGTGTGTGTCTCTCTCTCTCTCTATCTGTGTCTCTCCCTCTCTGTGTTTTCTCTCTCTCTCTCTCTCTCTCTCTCTCTCTCTCTCTCGCTCTCTCTCTTTTAACATAACGGCTAGCCATCTGCCGAGAGCGTTGCGTAAAACATTAACTCTGTAACTCTGGCGACGATCCCCTTGGATCTCTGTAAAAAGGTGCACTCGTGAACTCAACAACACAACCTGGAACAAACCCATGAATATCTAGAGCGCCAGGCAAACGACTTGACCACATCGCCACGAGGATCTCCAATTTTTGAATGACATTTCTCCAAAAGATAAACGGGTCTTACAAGTTGTTTAACCGTAAAACTAAAAGTTAAAAAAAAAAAGGGGTCACATTTCTAGTTAGTTTCTCACTATTATGCAATGAAAACCATTCTTACGCGTAAGAAAAATCCTCCAATACAATTCTACAGTTTGGTCGCTAATGCGCCGAATCTGGATTAATCTTTCAAGTGTTTCTGTAGGACTTTACATGTGACAGATTTTTGCGTGAAATCCGACCAAAGCTGGAGTTTGAATTAGAAAAATAAATCGGGCATAAGTAACCACGTTAAAAATAAAAACAGCAGCTGGTTTGGCGCCAAGTGAGAAATTATTGTTTACCCCTGGGCAACAGCTGAGTTACAGACAACAAGAAGAAGGAAATACCTATTGATACAAGGGGATTTGGCGAGAGTGTGATAAAAGAAGATTTCAATAAGCTGGGCACATCTTAAGACATAACGAAGATGGATTCACTAAACAGGCAGTTAAATGAGAAACAAATGGACTAAGGTAACGAGGACGTCGAAGGTTAACCTTCAAACTAACTATGTTGAGAAAAGTCAAAAGTGTTGGATCGGATTCCATCCATAAGTGTGCATGATAGAACGGGACTGGGGACCAGGCTGCGAGCTTGGTGTAAAATGTTGCAGTAAGAAAGGATGACGATAATGATGACAAAGATAATGATAATAATGATGATGATGATGATGACTATGATGATGATGATTATTACGACGATTATGACGTTGATAATGACAATGATGATAATGAAGATGACGATTACAATTATGATGATTGTGATGATGACGGTGATGATTATGATAATGATGGTGGTGGGTGGTGGTGGTGATGATGGGTTACTGGGGCACCGCATGGCCAATAGTCTCTTTTTTTTTTTTCTCAGACGCTCAGCTCTCATCCTTTCTGCGGTCATTTCTTCCGTTATTCTCATTAACTTTCTGATGTGCGTCGGCGTCTGTGGCTCAGGCGTTGCGAACGCGCTTCGTCATGCCAGGGTGCCGGGTTCGATCCCAGCTGCGAACGATTTGTCTTGCGTTGGTTTCGACAGTGGTACTGAGATCTGACCGTTTAGTGAGCAATGGCAAACTACCGATTAGAAAATTTGCCTAAAAAAACCACATCAGTAGAAAAATGCTAGATTTGGTTCTACAAAGTCCTGTAAAGCAGTGGTTCTCAACCTATCTAACGCGGCGACCCTTTAATACAGATCCTCGTGTTTTGCGACCCTTTAATACAGATCCTCGTGTTTTGCGACCCTTTAATACAAATCCTCGTGTTTTGCGACCCTTTAATACAGATCCTCGTGTTTTGCGACCCTTTAATACAGATCCTCGTGTTTTTACAGATACAGATCCTCGTGTTTTGCGACCCTTTAATACAGATCCTCGTGTTTTGCGACCCTTTAATACAGATCCTCGTGTTTTGCGACCCTTTAATACAGATCCTCGTGTTTTGCGACCCTTTAATACAGATCCTCGTGTTTTGCGACCCTTTAATACAGATCCTCGTGTTTCGAAACCCTTTAATACAGATCCTCGTGTTTTGCGACCCTTTAATACAGATCCTCGTGTTTCGAAACCCTTTAATACAGATCCTCGTGTTTTGCGACCCTTTAATACAGATCCTCGTGTTTTGCGACCCTTTAATACAGATCCTCGTGTTTTGCGACCCTTTAATACAGATCCTCGTGTTTTGCGACCCTTTAATACAGATCCTCGTGTTTTGCGACCCTTTAATACAGATCCTCGTGTTTTGCGACCCTTTAATACAGATCCTTGTGTTTTGCGACCCTCTAATACAGATCCTCGTGTTTTGCGACCCCCAACAATACAGTTATTTTCGTTGCTACTTCATAACTTTACTGATTAGATTAGACTTAGACAACCAATCAACATCACGGCAAAATGCTGAAAAAGAAAAGAAGGAGGAGGAGAAGAAGAAAAAGAAGAAGAAGAGAAGAAGAAGAAAGAAGAAGAAGAAGAAGAAGAAGAAGAAGAAGAAGAAGAAGAAGAAGAAGAAGAAGAAGAAGAAGAAGAAGAAGAAGAAGAAGAAGAAGAAGAGAAGAAGAAGAAGAAGAAAGAAGAAGAAGAAGAAGAAATAAGAAGAAGAAGAAGAAGATACATTTCGTATAATCACCAAAGAACATACAGCATTACATAGTGTCATCATCAAAGAACATACATAATTACATTGTATCATCACTGTATCCTCATTAAATTGTATGATTATTACATTGTATCATCACCAGAGAACATACATGATTACATCGTGTTATCATCAAACAACATACATGATTACAGTGTGTCATCATCAAACATACATCATTAAATTGTACCACTTTCAAAGAACATAAATATTTACATCGTTTCATTATCAGGGAACGTAAATCCTGACATTGTATTACCATCATAGAATGTACACGACTCTATTGAGTTGTCATTACAATATATCAGTATCAAAGAACTTTCTTTTTTCTTGCAGAGATATGCAATGTCTGCTTTGCGAGAGTGAGCCGCCCACTAAAATACCGAAGCACTGCACAGTGTGAACACTAACAACATTTATGTCCTCGTAATTACATGAAAATCAACTACTGGTGTCCGCTGGGGAAACAAAAGGGGAATCCCAGAAAGCATAACGAAGAAAGTGAACACTGAAAGATAACAATAGGGAAAGTAGAAAGAATCGACTTCCTTGCACTGGATTTGTAAACCATATAACTCAGTCGCTATCCGCTGAGCTGCTGCCGAGAGTGTCGCACAAAGCACGGATTCTTTAGCTCCAGCGACGATCCACGGTGACTGGCGGATAACAAAAAGACAAAAGTTTCTTTTTGTTGAAAGCTTGAAGATTCGAACAGCGACCTTAAATACGAAACTCCTGCCCCGCAAGGTACTTTTGATGTCATATGCAGTTCCCCAGCCTTTTCAGAGTTCGTGTTCTCCATTTTGTTTTGAATCATCTTTGAGTCTACAAGTGGAACGAGCAGTTAGATAATGTTTATCTGAAGAAAACAAACAGGAGTTTGAGAGAAGCTACATCAAGTGCGAAAGACAGGCCGTGCGGGAGATCCGCTGTAGACAACATTCATTGTGAAGACGACACCTGAGGAATGGATTGATTGATTAAATGACTGATTCAGTGATTGTTTCCTCGATCGAAAGATGGGATTATCAGAAACTGTGATTCTTACAGATTTCTAAATAAGAAGTTAAATTCAAGAACAACTCTATTAAATTCCTCAAAAGGAATTCGAGACCAACTGACCTTGATTTCTTGACCACTCTGCTGGATTCACTATCATCCTCAAATGCTTACACCTTTCTTACAACCGGAATTACGCAATGTCTAACCAGATTCCACTAGCCAGATTTTTTCAAATTCCGATGTCAAACTTATTTATTCCTTATTGAGATCATCAGGGCTGTTTCCGCTGGAGCAGATTCAACAGCCCTACCTGGCAGTACCGGACAGTTTCGGAAAGTACTTCCCCTGTCCGTCGCCATCGCTGTACTCCAACATGCTGGACATGCAAACCGTGGGCTTGCAGTCGCCCTACTCTACGGGTGCCGTGGGTGGTATGGGTTCGCTTCCCAACATATCTTTAGGGAACCTGGGAAACACTGCAGGTCTAGGACTTATGTCTGGATTCTATGGAGAGCAGAATTACTACAGACATGGCGGGTAAGTCTGCTGTTTGTCTTCTTCCTTGTAATCTATGTCAATATTCACCAAACTGATGTCTGCCGTTTGTCTTCTTCCTTGTAATATATGTCCGTGTTTACCAACCTGTGAGGTCTGCTGTTTGTCTTTTCCACTGTAGTCTATGCCAGTGTTCCTCAACCTGACAAGTCTGCTGTTTGTCTTCTGCTTGCTGTCTATGTCAGTGTTTCTCAAACTATTTACACTAGCAGCCCACCAAATCAAAGGAACGTGTTTCACCGCCCACCTGACAATTAACCAAACATACATACACAAAAAATGTAGACAGCAGTAATGTTGTTAAATTTGTTGTCACAAAATGACAACTGTCAGCTCCCCGACCCCTCGATATGTGGCAACGGCTGTCGCCCCTTTTAAGGGGTGGAAACTCTTTCCCCTACCCTTTGAATGTGTATCAATGCCCTCCGCACATCCTATAAATATGGAGCAATGCCCTCTTCATCCTATAAATATGTATTAATGCCCCCCTCATTCTATAAATATGTAGCAATGCCCCCCTCATCCTATAAATATGTAGCAATGCCCCCCCCCCTCATCCTATAAATATGTAGCAATGCCCACATCCTATAAATATGTAGCAATGCGCACATCCTATAAATATGTAGCAATGCCCACATCCTTTAAATATGGAGCAATGCCCACATCCTATAAATATATAGCAATGCCCACATCCTACAATTATGTAGCAATGCCCACATCCTATAAATATGTAGCAATGCCCACATCCTATAAATATGTAGCAATGCCCACATCCTATAAATATGTAGCAATGCCCACATCCTATAAATATGAAGCAATGCCCGCATCCTATAAATATGTAGCAATGCCCACATCCTATAAATATGTAGCAATGCCCACATCCTATAAATATGTAGCAATGCCCACATCCTATAAATATGTAGCAATGCCCACATCCTATAAATATGTAGCAATGCTCACATCCTATAAATATGTAGCAATGCCCACATCCTATAAATATGTAGCAATGTCCACATCCTATAAATATGTAGCAATGCCCACATCCTATAAATATGTAGCAATGCCCACATCCTATAAATATGTAGCAATGCCCACATCCTATAAATATGTAGCAATGCCCACATCCTATAAATATGTAGCAATGCCCACATCCTATAAATATGTAGCAATGCCCACATCCTATAAATATGTAGCAATGCTCACTTCCTATAAATATGTAGCAATGCCCACATCTTATAAATATGTAGCAATGCCCACATCCTATAAATATGTAGCAATGCCCACATCCTTTAAATATGGAGCAATGCTCCCATAATATAAATATGTAGCAAAGCCCTCCCCCCTTATCCTATAAATATGTAGCAATGCCCCCATTCTATGAATATGTAGCAATGCCTTCGCCCCATGAATGCCCACCCCCCACCCCCTTGAATATGTAGCAATGCCCCTCTACCCCTTGACAAGGTAGCAATCTCCCCTTTATCCTCCCATGTTCCTTTCTCTCCGTCACCTAGGTTAAAAAAGATGTGATTGAAAAGAAAAATCACAAGCGCTGTTAATTCTAAAGACCATACATCATTATTTTGAAACACCCTCATCATATTGATCATCAAAGAATATACACCTTTACACCGTTTAAACATCAAAGAGCATACATCATTACATTGTGTCATTGTCAAAGAACATTCATCATTACATCTCATAATTCAGGTTGGAAAACAACATCCGAACAACTTAAAGTGTAAAATAACGTTACAGTTGTTTGGCTGTATGATTTATAAATAGTTTAACAAATATTTTTTTTATAATGAAAAAAAAAAAATTGTTGTTGTAACATATTCTTACAAATACAATTGCACTCAATTACACAGTTGCTTGGCAACCCATGGAAGCCTCCATGCCGCTCCCCACCCCACCCCAACTACCTACCCCCCACCCACCCCGGTGACGCCATAATGACTCTAAAGATGGCCGCCCCATTTTTGACATGCACCAAAGAGGAGCAAAGTTCAGTTATCACTTTATTTTATCCCTTCGATCAGTACTAAAACAAACCTTGCACGGCGGAAATCCAACCCTAGTACTCCAGAATTATGAAATTATAAAACGCATTAACAAACTTCAAAGCCACAGAGGTCGACTTGTTTCAAAGCTTGGTTGATTGTTTTTTCAAAGCTTGATTGTTTTAAACAAGATTTCAATACTCTCTTTAAACAGCTGAATACTGTTTTTATGTAACTGAATCACTGCATAGGCAGAATTACTTCATTGCAAGTTTTTGCTTGTCTGGCAATAGTTAATCTTGCACTTTCCTCTATATGTGGATTAAAAGGATATAGTTTCATTGCCCAGCTACTGAGCGGAGTGCATGGCGCGACACTGCGAGCTGTGGATTTCATTAGGAATTCTTTTCGACATTGGTTGTGTTGTTAAAAACGGATTCCGAAAAATAAAAAAAAGTAGCCTGTTCCTAGAGAACTGCTTGTGCCTTCTGCGTTTAATCGTGTGTTCCTTTGATCGTGTAACTTCTGCTTCAGTCGACGATGAACTGCATTTCTACTGCGGGACTGTTTGTGTCGGCACTTCTGACGGCTTCATTATCCAGTTAATCGCTTTCCTGCTAATAGAATAGGACTGCAGTCTGTATTAATTTTGTTACAAGAGACAAAGATTTACTCTTTGTGCAGTTTTCGCTTTCTTTCTTCTTTCTTCCTCTCTTCCTTTTTTTTTCAAAATTCTTTACTCACGCCTTTTCTTACTTTTTTTCAGTTTTTTTTTTTTCCCCCTGGTTCTCACTTTTTTTTCTACTCTCTCTGTCTCTCTATTTCTCTATCAGCCTCCCTCTTTCTGTCGTTGTCTCTCCTCTCTCTCTCTCTCACTCTCTCGCACTCTCTCTCTCTCTCTCTCTGTGTGTGTGTGTGTGTGTGTGTGTGTGTGTGTGTACGCGTGCACGTGTGTTTATTTCTCCCTCTTTAAACACAGCCTTTACCGCCTAAAATGTATCACTCGGGGATGCAGAATATTATTTTGTAAAAAAACGGAGGAAATGAAGAAAACTGCCCTGGTTGAAAGAACTTCTCTGAGAGTTTCAAACTTTCTCGCGAGGACACCGCAGTTCTTTGACTAATCCTGAAGTTCAGCAGTTTGGCTCTTTTCGATGCCAGGGTTAGCCTGTGGATAAGAGAGCTAAACACATGGGTTTTTTTTTTAGTTGAACTTGTTAATCGTATTTTGCTGAGGTAAATCCAACTGTTTTAGAACGAGGTGTGAGCTTGGCAGATTCCTGGAAAATCCGTTGTTTTTTCTTTCTTTCTTTCTTTTTTTCTTTCTTTCTTTCTTTCTTTCTTTCTTTCTTTCTTTCTTTCTTTCTTTCTTTCTTTCTTTCTTTCTTTCTTTCTTTCTTTCTTTTCTTCTTTCTTTCTTTCTTTCTTTCTTTCTTTCTTTCTTTCTTTCTTTCTTTCTTTCTTTCTTTCTTTCTTTCTTTCTTTCTTTCTTTCTTTCTTTCTTTCTTTCTTTCTTTCTTTCTTTCTTTCTTTCTTTCTTTCTTTCTTTCTTTCTTTCTTTCTTTATTTATTTATTTATTTATTTTTTATTTCCTTCTTATAGGGTGTATCAGAAATGATCATACAATTAGAGTAAAATTCCAGATGTTTGTACCTATGACTTCTATGTTGCCGGCGATTTTAATTATCAACAACACTATTGACTGCAATTGATATTCTTTTTTTCTTAAAGTCCATGCTGTGTGGAGTAGGGGGTCATGTGGTAGCCACACGGAATGGACTATGGAAGATCATCTGTGTAGAGTTGATTGAAAGTACACTAGGCAGAAGGTTGTGGATAGACATGACTTCAAATACCGGACGGCGGGACCATAAAAAGAGGAAAATAGTCATATTATTAATTAGAATGATGATAATGATGGTGATAATAATTTTAAAATATTAAGTTAATAATAACAACAATAACAATTGCGCCATTCTGTAGATAGAGTTGATTAATAAATGGTTGTACATTAGACATTTAAGGTTGAAATGGTGTCAGTAATACATTCCTAATAATACTGAAACTAATAAACACAGTAATGTAAACACAAAATATAAATTATCCATTCAGAGTCCTTTAACACTGCATGCCGCTGGGTCGCGAGTTATGTTGACTGTTTCATCAGGTCACTCCACTTTCCATGGAAGAATATAAAAAAAAATACAACAAAGATACAATAAAGTCAATCATGTTGTAGGACAAAGCGCAGCAATATTTAAATGCAAGCACGTGCATATGAAAACTAGAAAAGCACTGTTTAACACAATATTCTTACCAACGCTATGCTATCAGTGTCAAACATAGATAGTGTCTTCAGAAGATAGAAGAAAAAAGTCACCACAAAAATGAAAAGTTTACCTACTATGCTAGGTGTGACAAGAAAATATCGATTAGGAGAAATAAAATCAGAATGCGAGTCGGCACAGAACCAACCCGAACCTTATCGGTAGACAGCAGATTAAATGGTTTGGCCATGTAACAAGATCAGCAACAGACAGTGCCCCACAGAGAACAATATTGTACAGATAAAGTGGTAACAGAGGCAAAGGTCGATCACTCAGTATATGGACCACAGAACTATCAGAGACCCTGAAAAGTATTATAGATGAAGCGATCAGAAGGGCCTGTCTCGGAGAGCTCTTCCTGTGCTGATACCGCGAGGCATTCCAGGATTATAGGACAGAAAAAGAGGATCATCTGAGGATCAGAATCGGCGGACTTGAGGATTTCACATTTGAGTCCTGCCCGGACAAATTGAAGAACTGTAGTGGTGAGTAGGTATATCTACGTACTGTTGAACTTCTTTCTCGAGGAGCGGCTGGCCGAACGATTAGAACGCTGAGCTCTCAAGCGGGAGCTCCGGGTTCCAGTCTTCGGTAAGGCTGTGGATGTTTTTCTGTCAGGGGCAAAATTGAATTCTCACCTGCACAGTCGTG